CTGATTGGCTCGTTTCCATTGTATGAGGGGTGAGGGGTGGTCTTCGGCCCTAAGGTGAGGTTCCTGGTGGGTCACTGGTCTTCTGGTCTACTGATTTTGAGTCAGGTCTTTTGTCAAATTCCTGAAGGAAACCTGAGGGGGAGTAGGTGGGGTCTGTTACATTCTTAAGAGGAACCTTACCCCTGAGGGGGTTTGCTGTGGTCAGACATTCCCAGCCTTGTTCCAAAATGTGTGTTCTTCCCTACCTGGGGACTTGAGGTCCTGATCTTTTCCTTCTCTGCCTATTTTATTCTGTCGTTTCCTATCATAGTAGTACACGAAATTTTTTCAGAAAGATACATATATCGATAGGACTTTACTCAAAGGTTTTACTCTTAGTGTTGGTGCGAAAAAATTTACAAGCCTATCACTGACAGTGGAGTCAAAGTGGGGCTCCTCCCATGGCAATTTGAGAAACCGATTTCCTTATAAGACTACCTCTTCCCCATGACGTGCTCCTATAATTCATTCATGGAGAACAAAATTGCCACTACAGCTCAAACTCTGAAAAGCAGCGAATACAAAGTGTATGTGTCTTGCTTCTCTCGAAATGTGTACATTCAACATACTTTTAGATAATCCACTTTAAATGCTTTGAAAAAGAGAGAGAGAAGAAGAAGAAAAGAAACTTCTGGAGTGTTGTGGCCAGTGCTATGCTCTAGGACAGGTAAATGCATTAAGTCATTTCAACATAGGCCATGTGGTTCTTGACTCAAGCCGTTTTGGGTCTTTTGGTAAGCAGATTGGAGAGGGCTACATTCTCCTCTGCAGGTGAAGGTGAGGGTTCCAGACCAAGTCTTGAGTCCATTCTGCCCCGTCTGGGGACTCTGACCGCATCTCCCACAAAAGGCTCATTTGGGGTAGCAGCAGGATTCAGCTGATCACTGGGTTGCAATCAAGTAGTCATGAGTTTTCTGGAATCAGTGGTGGGACCCAGGAATGCGCCCAAGGCACTATCCTGGGCTAATCGACTTGCTGGGCTTGATTGTCCTTTTGATATGCATGCAGAACGCACCTCTGGGATGCCCCAGTTCCATCCACAGAGTTGGAACACCCCGATCTCATCTTTGCTTACTCTTTTCTCATGTCAATCTCGTTAAAAGTCATTAAGTTCATCCAGGAAGCTTCATTTCTAACACCATTGCTAATGAACAAAACACTTGGTTTACAACAAAAATTGCGGAAGTAGTAGCTGCTCGCGGAGTATGGCCATCCCAGGAGTGAGTCCCTTGTAACCTCCCCAGCCCCAGGGGGCACCCTCAGAGCTATTGTTTCTAGCCCGGCTGGCTAGCTGTTCTGGAAAGTTCCTTTCAGCACTATAATGGATGCATTGTTCCCAAAATAGGTTTTTTGTTTTTGTTTTTGCAATTTATGATATTTATTTGTTTTTATTTTATTTTCTATTTATAAAAATTTACATCCAAATTAGCATATAGTGCAACAATGATTTCAGGAGTAGATTCCTTAGTGCCCCTTACCCATTTAGCCCATCCCCCCCTCCCACAACCCCTCCAGTAACCCTGTTTGTTCTCCATATTTACGAGTCTCTTCTGTTTTGTCCCCCTCCCTGTTTGTGTATTATTTTTTTTCCCTTCCCTTCTGTTCATCTGTTTTGTCTCTTAAAGCCCTCATATGAGTGAAGTCATATGATTTTTGTCTTTCTCTGACTACTTTCCCTTAGCATAATACCCTCCAGTTCCATCCACGTAGATGCAAATGGCAAGATTTCATTCTTTTTGACTGCCGAGTAATACTCCATTGTGTGTGTGTGTGTGTGTGTGTGTGTGTGTGTGTGTGTGTGTATATATATATATGTATATATATACCACATCTTCTTTATCCATTCTTCCATCGATGGACATTTGGGCTCTTTCCATACTTTGGCTATTGTCGATAGTGCTTCTATAAACATGGGGGTGCATGTGTCCCTTCGAAACAGCACACCTGTATCCCGTGGATAAATGCCTAGTCGTGCAATTGCTGGGTCGTAGGGTAGTTCTGTTTTTAGGTTTTTGAGGAACCTCCATACTGTTTTCCAGGGTGGCTGCACCAGCTTGCATTGCCAGTTCCCAAAATAGTTTTTAACTATATTGACCCAACCTATAATTTCCCCCAGAAGGCTCAACCGATAACCTTTGTGTGAATTCCTTGAGATCAGGGAGACACATTTTTTATGATTGTATTTTTTCCCCCAGAACCTAGGATTCCGTTTTGTGTAATAGCTGCCTGGGTGTGGAATTAAATGGAGTGCATTTGGGTTAGTAAACCTGAAATACAGTTTCTGATTTTGGAGGTCTGAAAAAAGTTACCTGTAAGAATAAACTAAAGATTTGAACGTTGTCCAGAGAAGAGAAAATATAAATAATAATAATAATGAACAAATTGCTAATGTTTATTAAGGGCCCATCTGTCAAATATAAATTTAAAAAAAAATTTTTTTTTTCCAACGTTTTTATTTATTTTTGGGACAGAGAGAGACAGAGCATGAACGGGGGAGGGGCAGAGAGAGAGGGAGACACAGAATCCGAAACAGGCTCCAGGCTCTGAGCCATCAGCCCAGAGCCCGACGCGGGGTTCGAACTCACGGACCGCGAGATCGTGACCTGGCTGAAGTCGGACGCTTAACTGACTGCGCCACCCAGGCGCCCTATAAATTTTTGACAGGTTGCCTCACTTTTTCTTTATGAAAACTCTAAGGTACACATGACCCTAATTCAGTCAAATGGGCCGAAAACTACTATTCTTCTCCTTTTTTTTTTAATGTTTATTTATTTTTAAGAGAGATGGAGAGAGGGGGACAGATCTGAAGCAGGCTCTGTGCTGATAGCAGTGAGCCCGATGCGGGGCTCAAACTCCCAAACATGATCATGAGATCTTGGCCTGAGCCAAAGTCAGTCGCCTAACCGACTGAGCCACCCAGGTGCCTCTGTTCTTGTTGTTCTCATTTGTTATTATTTTTACCAGAGAAGAAGCCGAAGCCTGGAGAATTTAAGAGCTTACAGGAGTCTGAGTTAGTGGGTGATGATACCCAGTTTTTGAGCTGAGCAGTCTGGCTTCAGAGCTGAAATCATTGCTACTAAACTGTCCTTCTTCTCCCATGTAAACATACTCAAGAGAAAATATTGAGCCCCTGGTAATCAAAGAAATACAAAATGAAACTCAGTGATGTAGCATTTTACAGCTGGGATATTGACAAAAATAATTACACAGTGGATGAATGTGTGGTACATAGTTAAGATAATTACATAGTAAACGTAGAGAAAATGGTGCTCAGATATTATGACTGGCAGTATAAGTGACTATAGTCCGTTTGGAAGGCAGTCAAGAGCCACAGAAACTTGGAAGTTTTGATCCAAGCATCCTATTCCTAGAAATCCTTTATAAAGCCAAGAGAAAACACTATGTGTATCTTCAAAAGAGTTCATAGTTCATGTTTATAACAATATAATTTGGAAATACCCTTAGTATCCAACTACAAGTCACCTACTAATTGTGGCAAAAACAATAAAGACTCTCTGGTGTCCATTAAAAAAAAAAAAATGAAAAAAAAAAAAACAAAACCAGAATAGGAAATTGAATCCCAGATGCTATGACATCTACTCACAAATATAAGTCAGTAGTGTCCCTGGACAGGCATCAGAAGGGAATACGAAAACGATGTGTAACCGGCCTGGAACTCTAAGTAGCTTTTTGTTTGTTTGGAAAGTGTCTTTATTGTAATGCTTTGCGAGCCTGTTTAACCGGAGCTTATGTTGGAGGATTTGGGACATTTAATCTCAGTTTGCAATTTTGAGTAAAAATTAAAGACTTAAACATTTCAAAGTTGCTTGAAAAAAATACCCCTTCCCCCAAACAAAAAGAGGACCACTGAATCTTTTCGGGTGTGTGCTTCTCAAATTTGTCCAGTGACCACTGACAATATATTTGGAGCCTTGTTTTTTTTTTTTTAATTTTTTTTTTCAACGTTTATTTATTTTTGGGACAGAGAGAGACAGAGCATGAACGGGGGAGGGGCAGATAGAGAGGGAGACACAGAATCGGAAACAGGCTCCAGGCTCTGAGCCATCAGCCCAGAGCCTGACGCGGGGCTCGAACTCCCGGACCGCGAGATCGTGACCTGACTGAAGTCGGTCGCTTAACCGACTGCGCCACCCAGGCGCCCCTGGAGCCTTGTTTTTTAATGGGTTTATTCTGTACTGACTGGAATGCAGCTTATCTGGATGCTGTTTCATCTCAGAAACCTTTTTTCATATTATTACGTAGAGAATTCCCTCATTCTTGGCTTTGGCAATACCTTCGAATTCAAGAAAGATACCTAAATGTAATCTGGATACAATGCAAATGTGGGATAAAGTTTGCCACTCAAATTTATGCACCTGCTTTGAGGGAATGGTCAGATCACTTATCACGTTGGGTATCTGAGGTTGAAGAGGTTGCTCTGCTGTACCTTAGGGCTGAAGCCTTCAGAAGAAGAGTTGTCTTACTGACACCCGCAGGAACATTTGGAAGGTTCTGGGGCTCCTTGGAAGGTAGGAGGTAGGGCAAGGTATGGTTCGAAGCAGTTAAAACAACTGGACCCAGGGTTGTTCTTGGCCGGAAAGTGAGACTGCTCTGTTCCCTCTGCCTTTGGGGAGTCAGCCCTGCTGGTAAACTGGAGCCAATGACCTTAGTCAAGACAGCCTAAAGCCTCAGTTTCCTTGACTGTCGAAGTGAGAGGGAAAGTAGCTAGTTCCAGGGTTGTGTAACTCTTCTCATGAACAATCTCCTTAATCCCAAAATAACTTCCAGGGTAAAAGTGCCATCAATTTTAAAATCTCCTTTTTAAGGAAATGAAACCACTGCTGTAGCGAACACATAGTTCATCAAGTGCCTGTCAATTTCAGACGCTGTTAATAACATAAAAAAGAAAGGGAGTCCTCGGACTTGTGCAAGTACAACCTGATTGGTACTTTGTCTTGCAGCGGGACTTCCCGGTCATCGTCATCCTCCGCTCCCCCAGCTCAGCCTGGCCGGAGTTCGGCTTCCCCAGCCCCTGTCCGCCGCCCACCTGCTGAGGAGCAGCAGAGTGCTGTGTCACTCAGGAGTTGGGGACCCCTGACGCAACCCAACCGCCCTCGTGCGCTGTGCAGAAAGGTAAGGTCAGTGCGGAAGATCGGATGAGCACCGCTCGGTACGAGGCCAGTTCTTTGGGGTTTCTCTATAGAGACTCCATCTGTCAGACCACACACAGGGGGTTTCAAATTCACGGTATGCTCCCCAACGCACCGTAACTGGGAGCATCTAGATACTGTACTCTGGTTTTCTTATCTGGAAAAGACAATGAGCTTGAAGGTACATTTAACAAAAGCATCCAAGGCATTCATTGCTGTACCTTTCGTTGAGGGAAAGAGGGGATTTTCCTTTCTTTTTTTTTTCTTCCTTGCTTCCATCCTTCCCTTCCCTCCCTCTCTCCTCTTTCTTTCTTTCTTTCTTTCTTTCTTTCTTTCTTTCTTTCTTTCTTTTTCTCCCTCTCTCTCCCTCTTTCTTTCTTTTCTTTTCTTTCTTTCTTTCTTCCTTTCTTTCTTTCTTTCTTTCTTTCTTTCTTTCTTTCTTTCTTTCTTTCTTCTTTCCTTCCTTCCTCCCTCCCTTCCTTCCTTCCTTCCTTCCCAGGGAACTTCCTTCCTTCCCTCCCTCCTTCCTTCCCAGGGAACAGCATGAATAGAGGGGGTGGGCTAGGAGTCTGAGACTAGCCCAATTACCAGTAGCTCACTGACGATGTGCATGGACCAGTTACAGAGACCAGGTTATGTGGAATTTCATGCTAAAATGGGAGATGATGGTGATGACACCTCTTCTGTTTATGGAGACGCTACCACATACTAGTCCCTGTACAAAGTGCTTTGTAGGGTTTTCTAAACACCACCAACCCCATGAGGAGGGCATTATGACCTCCATTTTTCAGATGAGGAAGCTAATAACACTTGGAGAGATTAGGCAGCTTGCTGAAATCATTCATTAAGGCGTGACATAGTTGCGGGGCACCTGGGTGGCTCAGTCGGTTGAGGGACCAGCTTGGGCTCAGGTCATGATCTCATGGTTTGTGAGTTCGAGCCCCGCGTCGGGCTTTCTTCTGTGAGCACCGAACCCTCTTTGGATCCTCTGTCCGCCTCTCTCTCTGCCCCTCCCCTGCTCACACTCTCTCTCTCTCTCAAAAATAAATATTAAAAAAAGAAAAAGGACATGACATAGTTGTGATTTATAGTCCCTCCTGTTTGAGTTCACACTGCTGTTTTTCTCTGTGGCTGACTCTGTGAGCGAGTGACGTTCGATTTCAAAGAAGGGACGATCAACTGCAATTTGGGAACAGGACCACATGCTAGAAGTTGAGCTGGACTTTAACATGTTAAAAAGAGCACTTCTCATTTCTGCCAAAGATTAACTTGATATGTTTCTGTATGGTAGAGAATATCTACCCTGACAATTGTGATTAGCAGGCCAAAAATCCAGACATATGTTATGACCTGGAATTTGAGGACTTCCTTTAAAAACAAAAAGGAATCTAGTATTTTGGAATTAGAACTTCTGGTCCTGGGAAGTATTTAAAGCCTGGAATATTTGAAATTGGGATTGTTCAGAAAACCCTTGACACACGGGCTGTGTCGAGCAGGTGGGACGGAAACCAGGGCCAGTGTTAAGATGTCTCTGCTAGAGAATTGTTCTTGATGTGTGGCCCGGCCAGCCATGTGCTCTCTGTGCCCTAGTTTTCTCATCATCCAAATTAAGAGCGGACAAAATGAACTTGAAAGTGCCTTTCAAATCCAAAGTTTCATTTCCATAACACCGTGGTGGTCTAGTCAATATTCTAAACCACCTAGGATTAGATTTAAAAAAATGAAAGAAAAAAGTTTACTACTTTTCAGTCTGGAAGTTTGAAGTGAATAATAAGATCTCTCACGCTTGATTTTGGCCTGCAGTGGTAATGAGGTGAAGATTCCTTTTTTACAAATGTGTGTGTGCACACACGTGCATAAGTAGATATATTTCATTTAAGTCTATCGAGGTCTGCCTCCACAAACGAACTCTGCCGCCTTAGTGGACCTGTCTGTCCCATTTCAAAGTTAGTTTAGCCCTAAGTCCTGCATTCAGGAAAGTGGGATAACACTAAAGATGTGTAGGCAGTCTTTGAGAGGGGGGGCGACAGATGATCATTGTTCTTTACCTTCAAATTTTCATGACACTAACCTACAAAGGTTTTTTGTGTTCACACAACCTGGGTTCACTCCTCCCAGTGCTCTCCTAACATATGTTCCTTCATGCTGTCTTCTCTTAATTTAAAAAACCTCTTTTGGGGCGCCTGGGTGGCTCAGTCGGTTAAGTGTCCAACTTGGCTCAGGTCATGACATCGCGGTTCTTGAGTTCGAGCCCCACCTCGGGCTGTGCGCTCGACTCCTCTGTCTGCCTCTCTTTCTGTCCCTCTCCTGCTCGTGCGCTCTTTCTCTCTGTCTCTAAAAAATAAATGAGCATTAAAAAAAAACCTATTCATTGTCGTGGTTTACCACATTGAGAAACACACTTCTTGTAATAGATTTTGGAAAGAGGTCTTCAGGGCTATGGAACATGAGGGGCAAACAGCTATTATCTCTCTTTCCTTTTCGTTTTAAAACTGGGTTTGCCATACATCACAGTCTCTTCCTTTGCTTCAGGCTTTCAGATGTGTTCTCTCTCCTTTTTCCTACTGTCTGAATCCTACTCATCTTCCAAGATTCAGGTCAGCTGTATTCGAGGAAGCCTTCTGGATCCTTTGTTTCCTTTTTTTTTTTTTTTTAAGTTTATTTATTTTCAGAGAGAGAGAATGAGCAGGGGAGAGGCAGAGAGAGAGGGAGAGAGAAAATCCCAAGCAGGCTCTGTCAGCACAGAGCCCAAAGTGGGGCTTGAACTTGCGAAGTGAGATCATGGCTTGATCCGGGGCTTGAACTCGCGAACGGAGATCGTGACCTGATCCGGAACCAAGAGGCAGACCCTTAACTGACTGAGCCACCCAGGTGCCTCTCCTTTCTTTCCCTCTTGGTGGATTTACAGCTTTCAGTTAGTTCTGCAGCAGAGACCTGGGCTCGGTGCATCTGGCCAGCCGAGCCCGCTAGGCAGAAATGGTAGGTTTCAGTTCCTCTTTCTGGCATCAGCTACTTACGGGCTTGGTTGTGCCTCCAGGGGAAGAAGCAGTAGGGAGAAGGGTGAATGCTATTTCCAGCAATGAATGAAGTTCACTGAAGTTCATAGCTTTGTCCCACAATAGTATATAGTGAATAAATGAAAAAAAAATCTATAGAACTTTTCATGCCATTAATTCAGGTGTAGAGAACCCTTTCTTTTCCTCTTCCTTCCTTCCTTCCCTTCTTTCTCTCATATGGGTGATCACACAGATGAAACCTACGTATAATTTCATCTAATTTAAAATCAGGAACAGGTCATCGAGAAACTTTCATTAGTTATGCTATATAACTTAATTTCTTTAATGTTTATTTACTTTCTTGAGAGAGAGAGAGAGAGCACGAGCAGGGGTGAGGCAGAGAGAGAGAGGGAGACACAGAATCTGAGGCAGGCTCCAGGCACTGAGCTGTCAGCACAGAGCCCGACATGGGGCTCAAACTCGCAAACTGTGAGATCATGACCTGAGCCGAAGTCGGATGCTTAACCCACTGAGTCACCCAGGCACCCCCTGAGGTGTCACATTAGCACAAGCTCCTGAGACCCCAACAGTGTCTGCTCCTCCAGACTGGCCAGGAAAAGTTCTTGGGGTGCTCCAAGCTTAGGAGCATGATTAGAAACACCAAGCTCCACAGTTTTGGTCACCATCTCCCCGAGTTTGTTCCAGAGTTTTCTTGGGGTCCAGCCACAGAAACACAGGCAATAGGAAACCTACTATGAACAGCTCTGGACCCCATTTCCTGTGCCCTCTTTCCACACAAAATAAGATCTTACAACTAAAACACCAGATGGTGTGACTGAAGGAGAGGGCTGAACCCAGCGCCCCCCACCACCGCAGGGCCAGGCACAGAATGTGGCACAGAGAATCACTCGTTATGTCTGTTGAGCGAACAGTAAGGCTTTTTCTCGGGAAGCCCTCTGACTTCTGAGTCGGTAAGCATCTGACTTCTGCGCAGGTCATAATCTCACGGTTTTTGAGTTCAAGCCCCGCATTGGGCTCTCTGCTGTCAGCACAGAGCCCACTTCAGATCCTCTCTTTCCGCCCCCCTCTGCCCCTCCCCTGCTCACTTGCACGCTCTTTCTCTCTCTTTCAAAATAAATAAATAAACTTAAAAAAAAAAACCCTTAAAAATAAAATGTGACACCTCAGAAACCCGAGGTGACAGGCGAGGTTCCCTCCGATGAGGCCATGGATGCACAGGTGGAAGAACCCTACCCCGAATGGCAGGACGTGGCCTTGGGGTCTCAGCTGCTTCCTGCCCCTTCCCTTGGCTGCTTCAGGGTGGCGCTTGGTCACCCTTGATTGAGTCGCCATCCTCGGCGATACTTGGACAGACCCCTTTAGCATCGATCACGGTAGTGGCTCTTCTGTTCCTGTCACGGCAGCCTCTGGGTCACGCAACGACGGTCCTTGGGAGTTTGTGAAACGGAGCCCCAGAGGAGTCTCCAGTGGGACTAGAGGCCAACTGAACTGAGACCATCCTCCCTGCAGTGGAAAGACAATGGCTGTGGACCCTGCTTTCACCTTCTGGCCGTTTGCTTACGCACGTGCTATGCGCACGTATATGTTTTTAAGAACAAAAAACCATTTCCACTACTCAAAATGGTACAGTAGGCAACAGGTAGAGAGAACTGTTCTCCTGTATAATAGTGTTGTTTGGACTGAAGCCACTGTGGTGGAAATTGCCGAGAAGAAAGGAGTTTACCTTTTTGAAATCCACCCTTTCCTCCTTCCCGTTGACTCACCGGTCAGCTCTAACCTTACCCGAGGTTAACAGAGCTAACGAGTGCAGGGCCCTTTTCATCTTGCCCCTTGTCTCGGAGTCTTGAAGGTAATGAGAGGCTCAAGAGAAAAGTCCTGATCGTTCTTAGGGGTGTGTACATATGTATACGCATATTCACGTAAATCCGCTAAATCCTTCCACTTGGAGGTCTAAATAGGTTACGTCATACATTTTTAACAAAACCTGTATTATTCCTTTCTCCCTCCCTCTTCCTGCTCTGCCTTTTCATTATTACCATTAATTATTTTAAAAAGAGTTTAGGAAAATAGAGCCTGAGCCACGGGTAGCTCGTTTCTTTCTTTCTTTCTTTCTTTCTTTCTTTCTTTCTTTTTTTTTT